TAGCCTATCTTCAGTTTCTTTAGACATTTTTCTTGTGTCGTGCTGAGCGTTCTTGCTTCAAGGAAAAACCAAGATCACTTCGTTTGGAATCCTTATTTTAATGAATGAATGTTTTAATGTATTATGAAAAAAATGCAAAGATGCCAAATGCAAATGTAAAATTGTAAATGTAAATTATTTAAAATACCAGAATAGGACATCCAGTTATATTAAGACTGCCCTTTTCTTTGATATTGAAAATAAATAAACATTATTATTTAATTAAATATGTTTTAATGCATGATGTAAATTTAAAAATGTAATGTAAATACAAACGTAAAAATGTACAAATGCAAAATACAAATGCATGTATGAAAAGGTGTTACTCAAGAGTGATCATCTTAGAACAGATTTCATTGAACACAAAAGTTTCGGTACATCAAACAAAACTTTACATATAGGGATATCTTTCACTTCTAACTTCTCCAAAGCCCAGTTAGTTTCCATTTATGCTCAAAAGTTGAGTCTTCAGTCTGCTTCATCTCCTTGTAAAGTCAGCTAAATTTATCATTTAAGAACCATATTATTTGTCTGGACTGCAACTTCTTCCATGACATTCTCTTTCATCTTCTGTGTTATTTCTCGGAGTTGCTCATTTTCCCTTGTAAGAGATCCTTTCTGTCCAAGAAGTTCTTGAACAAGATCTCATATATGTTGCAGTTCTTTTTCAGCTTGGTGACCCCTGTGATCCACTCTTGTGGGGTACTTCCCAGGCCAGTATTTTGAAAAGCTTGACTGATTTTCTGAAAATCTTCATGCATAGTTTTCATTTCTGTGCTCAATTTCTTGTTTTGGTCGTTCAAGTCCTTCAAATAACATGCTTGAGCTTCATAAAAACCTCCACTAATCTGAATGCCCTGATTGATGCTCTTACCATAGACTGCTTTTGGTATCAATCTGGTAGGATCTTTGTGTAATACTTTTGGTATTAATATAACAGGATCTCTGTGTGCTTTGCTTGCTTCTATCCTCGGAGTTTCCTCAGGATGTCTTTCTTTGGCCGCATCATATTTTGTTTGATCATAAAACTTTTTGTCCATTTACGATTTCTTTCCAATATGATGAACAGTCTTTCCAGTAAACACCTTTTGGTTATGCCATGATCATGTAATGCAAACAAAAGAAATCAAATATAAACAAGTTTAGAGCAAACAATATGTATGAAAAAAATGAGAAGTGAAAAAAAAATTGGTTAGTACCAATTAATGGAAAGAAAAGATCCTATTTATCAAAGTATAAATCCTAACCTCATGCTTTCTAGTTCCATGCTTTGTTTGGAAAAATTAACCTAACTGTATGATTTCTAGTTCGCAGGCATTTATTCAGAAAAAAGAAAAAAAATAATGAATAAATTAAAAGCTAGAACTTATTTCTCCTTTGTGTACACTTACGGACAGAGGTTCAATATTGTCTTAGATCAGGTGAAGTGCTAGGGTTTATTATATGCAAGGTTTCAGATCTAAGAATAAAGGTACTCGAACTGTCCTTGTTGATGCCCCCTTGGGCTGTCAACCCTCAATCCAAGTCCATTACAGACTTAAGCGGATCGAGTTCAATTCGAGGGGATACATTTCTCTATACCTGACACGGAGAATAAATTCTCACGAAGACATAGAGCATATGAACCCCGAAAGTTACTTGCTAGGTCTGACACGGAGAATAAATTCTCACGAAGACGTCGCTTTCACTCCCACTTAAAAGGGACAAACTCAATTATAGAGCTTTATGTTATGCAATGCAAGTGTTGTGTGTGAGGAGAAATGTTCAAACCTCTAACAGAAAAAATAAATAATGAAATAAAATATTTTGCAAATAAAATGAAATATTAATAAGAAAATATATAAATACTATGAAAATAATAAGTATATATAAAAATTTTGAAAAGAAAGAATTAAAAATTAAATATATGAATTTTTAATTTATAATTAATAGAGACAATTTATAATTGATTTTAAAAGATTGAAAAATCCCCAGCAGAGTCGCCAAGCTATCGTAACCGGTTTTCGTCCGGGCACGAAATATTTATTTTTGGCGGGGAAATTGATGTGAATAAATAATTTTGAAAATAATTTGTGAGTCGCCATCGGCCTTTTGGATCAGGTAGGTCGAATACCTAAAAATTATCTTTTAAAAGAGTTTTTAAGAAAACCATATTTAAAAGATGAACTGATCTGCGTTTTATAACCAAAAATTCGTTCTTTTTAATAATAAAAAGGGATTCGTGGTCGGTTACGTTTAGGGAAGGATTAGCACCCCTACAACGCCCAAAATTGGTACTTTTTAATTATAAATTGTCTCTATTATTAAAATTTAAAAAATTCAAAAATATATTTAATTTATAATCCTATTATTTCAAAATTATATAAAAAATATTTATTTATTTAAAAATATCCGAAAAGAACTTCTAGTTGCCTTAAGACAGCTCTTTTCTTTGATATTGATAAATATTAATTTAAATAATATGGTTTACTTTTTAATTTTAAAATATCAGAATAGGACATCCAGTTGTATTAAGACTGTCCTTTTTCTTCAATATTAAAAATAAATATTTAAAAAAAATACTATTTATTATATATTTATAAAAATATTTAATAAAATATTTAATAATATAATAAAAATACAAATACTACTAAAACAATATATTTAAAAACAATAAAATAAATGAAAACATATAAAATAAATGAAAAAATAAAATCAAAAATCTAATTCATAATTAATCTAAATTACAGGGATTAAATATGTTATTTCTTTATTTGGTGACTAAAATAAAATTATCTAAAATTTGGATATTAGAATCAAATAAATTAAAAATATAAACTAAGGATTAAAATATTATTTATTAAAATTAATGGATTAAATCTGTAATTTATCCTAAATATATTATTTTAATATGAAGGACTAAAATAAATAAAATTAAAATTCGAAGACTAAATTAAAAATATTATAAATTCAATTTAGTGACTAAAATGTAAAATTTACAAATACGAAGGACTGCGGACGGGGTTTAACTATTTCATAATTACGCGCATAGTCCTTCCCGAAACGACGTCGTTCGGGAAGGACTATAAGAGTCCAAATCGGCTGGCCCGAAGGGCCAGCCATTTCATTTCTTCTTTCTTTTTTTTCTTTCTCTCAAACAGAGAGAAGAATTCTCTGTCTTCTCTCTAAACTGAGAGAAGCTCAGCCGGCCGGCAGCCGTTAGCCGGCGTTCATCCGCCGTCAACCACCGCCGCCGGCCACCGTCTTCGGTGGCCGGAAAATTTTTTTTTACATCTAAATGTAGATCGGACCGTCCTAATGACGGTCCCGATACTTTTTTCCGTTAAACGACTCCCAATCGGAGCAGATCTACAAATATACCTTCGGTTTTTGTTGTATCCGGCGAGATCCGTGGTCGAGGCTTCCTCGGTAAGTCTCTTCTTCATTTTTCTTTTTTTTTCTTGGTTTTCTTGCTGCTGAGATCGTTGGTATTAGTTTGTATTTTCTCTGTTTTTTTTTTCTATGTCTCTCTCTATTCTTTTTTTTTTTTGTCTCTCTGTCTCGTTCTATATCTCTGTCCCTTTTTTTTTCGCAGATGGGTGGTGGCTTTTATAGCCACCACCGTTGTAGCTGTCGGACCGGTCCGAAGAAGGGCTCTCGGTGAGTCACCGGACTACCAGTGGTGACTCACCGAGTAGCCATGGCGTGGACGGCTGGTATTATCTTCTGGAGTCTTCGGTTGGGACGTGGCAGCGGCGGAGGCGGCGAGATAGCAACGGCGGCCGCGTGTCCTTAGGGTATCAGACCCTAGGGTTTCCCTCTGGCACCATCTGGACCGTTGGATCTTGCCAGATCCAACGGCTGTGAGCTGAGGCGGCTGGGTAAATTAGGGTTAGGAAACCCTAACTGGAAACCCAAGTATTTAGGGTTTCTGGGTTGGATTTGGACCGGTTCTGGTTGGTTTGTAACTGGGTCGGTCCAGTTGTAATTGGTCTGTAATTTATTATTTATTTAATATATATTTAATAATTAATAATAATAATAATAATAATAATAATAATAATAATAATAATAATACTAATAATAATAATAATAATAATAATATGGATAAAAAATTAGTATCTTCAGTAGGTATATAATCTGTGGGTAAAATACACACCAGGTCAGTCAATTATAACTTCGGTTACAAACAAGGCACTTTTTAAAGGTTACAATTTAGTTACTCGATTAAATGTCATTGCAAACATATCAATGACCATTAAATAAAATATAGAATAGTGATGTGTTATGATATAATATTAATTTTATTTCTTAAAAATTATACATTTTATCAATTTGGTCTTAATAGAATACAAATGATTACATTACTATATTATTCAGATTCGGAAGAAAATAAAACAATGTATAAGTTTTGATGACTAAAAATAATTTTATAGTAGATCACATTAGACTTATGTTTCAATTTTAATAACGGAATAACATGTTTGTAACAATATCCTAAACGAGTTATTAAATTATAACTTTTAAAAAATATGACCTATTTATAGCCAAACTAATGATTGAATGACCCTGACATGTATTTTACCCAAAATAGTTATACTGTAAGTGAGAAATGAAGCAAGTAGAAGACAAAAGTAGAAAAAATTGCCGCGCGTGAATCTCGGTAGCTCATCCCTACCACCCGTACCCGTACCCGTACCCATACCAAACCCTTCCCTTGTTTCCTATAAGAGACAAATCTCCTTTCTTTCCCATTCTTCTCTTCACCCAATTCCTTATATATACTCTGCAACTCTTTTTTTCTTTTCCCGTTCAAAGCTCGTGGTTGGATTCTCTACATTTCCATTTTCATTCTAACAATTCAGATCTCTGCACCAATCAATCATCGGGTTGATAAGGTTCGTGTTTGTCTTCAATTTTTATCCAATTCGTGGATCTTTAGAGATTAGATTCTTTTCTTGTTGATCTTTGTTCGAATTCCTTCAATTCAACCCAATTTTGCATGCATATTCTTCTACATCGGAGCCATGTCTGAACCCCCGGCGAAACCGGTTCTCCAAAAGCCACCCGGATACAACGACCTAAACGCCCCGGCCGGTCCCCGTGGGTTTAGACCACCGCCGCGGAAACCGATTCTCCCACCGTCTTTTCATCCCAAGAAAAGAAAGACTAATTATGGTCGCGCTTGTTGTTGCTGTTTCTGCATCTTCTTTTTGATCTTCCTTCTCCTCATTATTATTTCCGCCGCCGCTTTTTACCTCTGGTTCGACCCGAAGTTACCCGGATTCCACGTCCAATCGTTCCGGATCTCCCGATTTAACGTCAGCAAAAGACCCGACGGAACCTACCTCGATGCCGAAACGACGACGAGACTGGAAGTGAAGAACCCAAACGGAAAGATGACTTACTATTACGTCAACACGGAGGTTGATGTCACCGTGGTGGAAGGTGCGTACGAGACCGATTTGGGAACGACGTCGGTGCCGGAGTTCACTATGCGGAAAAAGAGCACGAGGACTTTGAGGGCAGGAACAAAGGTGAGTAACAAGTTAGTGGTCAACGAGGTCGGGAACAAGCTCAAGGTTCGGTACCGAAGCAAAAGTTTAGCGGTGAACGTGGAGGCTCGGACGAAAATCGGAGTGGGAGTGGCGGGGTTGAAGATCGGCATGGTCGGCGTCACAGTTAAGTGCGACGGGATGTCCAAGAAACAACTTGACGGCGGCGACATGCCCAAATGCGTCATCAACATGCTAAAATGGTAAGGCAACGTAAGTGAAATTGAAACAAAATATAATGACTTGGTTTGCAGGCTGGAGGAGAATCTCTTATTCTGTCATTTTCGTCCATCAAGTTTCCTTCGATTCCCCAAAATGATTAGATCTAATTTTGCTTCAATGCAGGCTCAACATTCACTGAAACTGATCACAGGTACTGATCAATTTGATGGATTGGGCCGGGCTGGGGGTTACATTTTGTATCCACATTGGATTGGATTGTAGCAGTTAGGTTCGGCTTTCATTTTTTGTTCTTTACATATAATTAATAATCAGTATTTATTCACACATTACATTATACTTGAGGGAAAAGAGTTATCATCCATCATAGTAAAAGCCATAACGCGTGCAACTTTGCCTTATTGTATTTGTATTAATCATTTGATTATTTTGGGTGGTTGTTTTTTTTAGAGAACAAATGGAGAGGTGGTGTGGGTCTTTAAGGGAAATAAGGTGTCACGTTGAGATGAAAGTCGGATATTTAAATTACTATGGTATGCTTTATATGACTGTCTCGTGAAGTAAGGACAAATCCTCGATAGATATAGGGTATCTGCTTTGTGTCTTAGACAAAATGATTCCCATCTTTTCTTTAATTGACCCTTTATTGCCGTTCAAAATTTTTTACGAATCAATTTATCTCAGTAGTTAAAATAATCATTATTGTTTTTAAAGTTCACGGGTTCGAGCATCAACGACTGAGTAGGATGATTGAACATTTATTGTTAAATGGTTGAGAGTATTTTAAATAGATAATACTTTGTAATCACCTTAGCTTAATAAAAAAAATCTCATCTCACTTTAACAGTAGAAGGATGCACTTGTTTTAATCCTTAAATTTCCATTATATTCTTTTTTATTCCCAAATTTCTTTTCGCAATGAAATAATATTGATATCAACATTGATATTAATTGTTTTATTATTTTTTACATCATAATTTTTTTTAAAAATTGAAAAAAATGACTTTCATTCTTATGTAATGCTGGCCTTTTTTTAATATATAATTTTTTTTATTTTTAATAATATGGTAAAATAATAAAATAATTGACATTGACGTTTCAATAAGAGAAAAAATAGCTGATATCAATTGAATAGTTCAATATTGTTTTGTTATATTTAAACCAATTTAATGAACAAAAGTAAAAATTTGAAGGTTAAAATAAACTCAACAAAAAATTTAGGTTAAACTATGCATATAGTACCTAAATTATTAATTTTGGTATACTTCAATATCTAAACTTTCAATTTTTTCAAAATCATACCTAACATTTAATTTTTATTTCATTTTAGTACCCTACCATTAAAAACTTAACGTGTTTAGTACTTATACTATCAGTTTTAGTCCATTTTAGTACCAAAACTTCAATTTTTCTAAAAAAATAACGTTAAATTTTGAACGAATGTACTAAAATAAAATAAAAATTAAACTTTAAGTTTGATTTTGAAAAATTAAAAGTTCAAATACTAAAATGGATCAAAACATATAGTTTAAGTACTAAAGTATAATTTACCCAAAAATTTAAAACTAAAATAACTTAACTTATAAAAGTGCTCGGGCCAAAACATCATTCTGCCTAATGGTAAACCTAAAAGGCAAAGCCATTGCAGTTACTTATGTTGCTTTGTAGCTAAGCTAATGTGCACAAAGATCACTATTTTAGCACTTAGCTCTATGTCATAATTTTCATTTCTCAGTGATATGGAAACAACAAAAACCCAAGATTCCACCATCTCATGTTTAGGGAAAAAAAAAACAAAAACAAAACATAGGATGTTTAAGGTTGTGTCTTGTTGCAGGACTTCTGCCTTGGAAAATGAGAATCTCAGGGTTTCTACTTGGTTCTTACACTCAACTCAATGCTACCATAAAAAAGCATATCCTTGGCATTGCTTTTGTTGATTAACATTGAACCATTCTACATGTCCTACCAGTGGATGTGGATCTGTATTAAAAACATCCTACATCCTCTGCAGATCAAAATGTTCACTGCTCAATGTCGATGCTACAACCGACACTTCTAACCGCCCTGTCCACTCCTCACCGGGTTTCAATGTCACCGGCTTCTCAATTGCTGCTCCGTTCACGCATAGCATCTGTTTGTATTCGCTGTCTCTGAGATCTACCATCGATTTTGATTTCTTCTCCCAGGGATTCCATACCGCTGTTAGCAACAGAATCACAATCTTTGTTTAGAAACAGACCAAGCTGCGCTCCTTTAATGAAATCTTCATAGTTTTCCTGTCCTAAAAACATCCTTAAAAGTACTTGCTTACCGACATCGGGCAGTCCCTCCTTCCTGACAACATACGTTCTTTTCCTTTCGTGATCAAGTACCGCAACTACGTTTGGAGCACTGAGATAAACTCGATCCACCTGTCACAACATTTGAAGAACATTTAATTTGTCATTGTTTAAAACTCATCGTGCGGCATTCTCGCAAGACAAATGGCTTCGAGCATAATAGCTTGTATTCCGAGGGAAACAAGAACAAAGTCCTAAGGCCAGAATTGTTATACCATGTTTGAAATGTTTCAATTTTCCCTAACCCAACGAACAGTCTTAGTAGCTCTTAATACCACAAAGCCATACATATTTGGACACTTCAAAGGAATGGTAAAACTCGTGTACCTCGGACTCAAATGTTATAGCATCGCCTTGCTCGGTAAAACGTTCTTTCTGGCAAAGGTTGTCTAGGTAGTCAAGTGTCTCCAGCCCTTCAATCCTCACTTCACTGTGGACACGGTTATGTTCATGTCAAATCCAGAAAGAACTTCTAACTTCTACGCGATAAAAACAGAAATTGTTTGTCAAATATACCTGATGTCGGAAACTGACAAATATGTATGATACGCAAAAGAGAAACTAAATGGCTTCCCGTTGACATTCCTAATTCGTGATATTAATGTCAGATTTCCATCTGCTGCAAGCGATACTCTCAGGCGAAACTCAAAGCTGAAACAGGAAAAGAAAACTACATCAGAAACATATACGCACCTCCTATAGATTTTTCAATTAAATCAACAAAGGAACTAAATATCCAAGTTCTTACCTATGGGGCCAGCATTTGAGATCTTCGGACGGTTTAAGCAACAGGTCAACGAAGGATTTGCCTTGGGAATCATTTGGACTCAGAGGTGGTGGATTTCCATCAATCGTCCAAATCTTATTCCTTGCAAATCCATGTTGCTCAAGCGACCCGCAATTACGGAACTTAGCAAGCATCCAGATGAAGAACTCCAATAAGCAACAATGAATAAAAAACCATAAAAATACATTTACTAAATGACAGAAAAAAAGACTACCTGTGGGAAACAAATAGGGATTCCTCCTCGCACAGCTTTCGGTGGCTTAGAACTCACCTAAGATTCATTATACAAAACATGAATCAGTTTCCGGTTTCGTTTCACCACGACAGAACAGTTTAACTCATGAACTCTATAGCCGTAAGTCGAGCCGCTTCTCAGACAACTTCTATAGAAATTAAACATCCTTTTAACCCTTCCCCTACCTTATTACTGGTAAACAGAAGCTCTTCCCCTTGTTCATTTCTCCATGAAGTTACCTGTCCTCCAGATAAGCTAACCTATAACATTAAAACACAAAATTAACACGAAAATCAATCTGAAATCAACACAAAAAAGGGAAAGAACAAATGAGAAATCATACCCTTGCCGAAGCTCCTCGAGGGTTACGAAGAACAATCTTATCAATCCCGTTCCAATCCTTTGTAATCTCAGTTGCAGCTCTATAATCCCATACTGCTGCAGAATGCCCCATTTTCGAAATTAAAACCCCAAAATTTCTCACAAAGGTTCCGCTTTTTTTTTTTTACTCAAGAATTCTACAATTTAACCCCAAAAATTTATTCTCTAGAATTCATATAAACACGCCGAAATGCCGACAACAATGAATTTTGCCTGCCGAGAAGCTCATTAACAACACTTATCTTGTGACAAACCTCTGATCTCGTGAACTTTAAGCAAAAAACTCAACTACGAAACCTCAAGCATTCCCGGTTTGTTGACAATTACGGTTCAGATCTAAAGATCCTTAATTCTATTTACCCAAAACCAAATTATTGCTGCTAAAATGACTGACACTGAAACCCTAAGGACTCAAAGATATAAACAGGGCCCATATTCATAAACAAATCATGATCAAAATTTGTCATTTACACATCACAACAAGACAATATGAGTGAGTTCCAATAAACGGTGAAAAAACATGTTTAGACACTCAAACTCACAGTACTAGAAATACTTTTTTTCCAGACACAAAAATAGAAGGAATAAAACCCAATTCCCTATTCAAAGAATTAAGTAGAAAGAATCTAAATTTCAGAACTTTTCTTCTTTGAAACTGCAAAACTGAATGCAATGGGACTTGAGCAATGTTTTTGCATGGATGGGGGACGTTTAAATAAAGCCATTTGCCAGAAGAAGCAACCCCATTTCCAGGTTGATTTAAAACTAAAAAAATTAAGGAAACAAAAAGCAAAAACAGAGACATTAATTAAGATTTAAGAAGGTAATTAAAAATAATTAACTGAACAGGAGACAACCTAGGCTGGTGTTGCCTGTTGCAATGATCTAGGACATGGAGATACGACGAGTACATGTCCTTTGTACAGACAGAATGTGCGATACCCGAGATTTGAAAATGATAAAATTTAATATTATGACAATTTGTCTCTCTTTTAATATTTATTTTAAAAGAAATAAGTATGAAATGATCAATTTATTAAATATATATATGTGGGTAAACTATATTTTAGATCATTTCATTATATATTTGATAATAAACAAATTATTTTATAAAAAAATTATAAACAAGTAATTTAATTAAATATTTTTATAAATAAGCCATTGATCATTAAATATTAGACGAAAATGCCATTAAAAAAATATTAGACTAGAATAGTAGTATGCTATTATATAACCAAAGTTATCAAAGGTTCAAGGGGCAAAGTGTCCTGGAGTCTGGAGGCGCGAGGCGCATGAAAGACGCGAGATTCACGAAGGTAAGGTGTATGATATCCAAAAAAAATATAATTTTAGTTTTTTAATTAATTTTTGTTTATTCATATAAAATAAATTGAAAATAAATGATGGTGTGACCCATTTTAATTGATTTTAGCGGTGTTAATAATCTATGACAAACAAAATAATGATTTTATAGTTCGAAAAATATTTTAGAAACAACACGGTATAAATTGTATAATTCAGGAGGTAATGCTACATTTAACCCTATAAACAATGATTAGTTAATTAATTAATTAATATGGTAAGAACAGAATAGTTGCAGCTTCTCGAGTCTTCCACATACCTGATTATAAGTCATCTCCTTTCTTCCTCGAGTCCATGCCCTTCAATTTCTCACCATCGCTATCATCTTCATCTCGTTTATTCTTATAATTCATTTTCTGAGAATCAGCAATGTCTCATATCCTTATTCAGTAGGATTCATGTAAAATATAGGAGGAAATTTTGTATTTATGTGTTTTTAATTTTGTGTTTATGTTTTGCCTTTTCTTCCTTAACACAAGCTAACGGGGCAACCAGAGTGATCGAGATCGAGAAAGGGCTCAAGCCAGAGCTGCACACAAAGGCAAGAACTCCAGAGACGATGGGTTAACTCCTAAACAACACCGTGAAAGGTTTCCTCTTTGTTTTCTACTTTCAATTTTCTTTATTTTGTTATAAATTTTGCCTCTTCTTTCTTTACTTCTGGTCTTTTGGGAATTGTGTCCGATGGGAAGAGATGCAAAGGCCTTGCAAGAGAAGGCAGCAAGGAAGGCGGCGGCCGGAGGGAACAATCAGGGCGGGAGTAAAAACAAGAAATAACAGTGGCCCCGTTCAGAGCCTCGCGCACCGAAAAACCCCAATAACCACATTCGATTAGCCCCAGTTCGACACTTCCGGTTGCTCCATACTACCAAAAGGGATTGGACATTTTCAGGGATCACAAGATGAACTTGCCATTGTTTACACTACCTTTTCCATACACTCCATACGATCTTGCAGTGGCAAAATAGATGGTTTATAGACTCTGGTGCTTCGTTGCAGAACATGCAAAGAGTGGAATCGATTCCAACTACACCTCTCTTGGATAGTTTGGTAAGGGACGGGATTCTCTGTTGCACCACCCTCCACACAAAAAATTCAACTTTTGGAGGGGCAAGATTCGCCCAAACCAGATTCCAGAATCGGTCTTCCACTTCACCTTCACAAGCTACATTGATACAATAAATCTTCGGGGAGTAAACACCATCCGTAGAGCTAATCCATCTGAGACAATCTGCTTTTGAAAAAATTGGTTTCACGCTGGAAATCTTTAACATGAAATCGTCCCACACTATTTTTTCCCACTCGAATAAGGACCTTCTAAGATCCACATTCCAAACCCATGCATCATTGATCCAGTTCCCGAAATCTTTAACTTTCCCATGTTTTATCACTGCGAGATTATAGATACGAGAGAGTGCATGTTTGAGGGAACGGACATCAGTCCAGAAGTCCTCCCAAAAATTGATTTTTGATCCATCTCCCAAAGCACATTTCATATTTGATAAGAATGGGTATTCATCCGAATCCACTGAAGAGGAAATATTCCTCCAAATCCATGATGCCTTACGTCTGGTAGTGGATTTAGGCAGTAGAGCACTCTGATCCAAATCGTATTTTGATGCTATCACTTTTTTTCACAAGCAGTCTTCTGAGTTTCCAAACCTCCAAGACCATTTGTTGAGCAACGCTCGATTTTTCAGTCGCGCATCCTTAAATCTGAGGCCTCCAAATAACCTTGGTTTGCACATATTTTCAAATTTCACCCTATGAATCGACCTACCGGAATTAGAACCCCAAATAAAGTTCGCTATACTTCTTGAAGACATTAGTTTTTTTTACATTTGGTTTTTATTATTATATTTATTATTATTATTATTATTATTATTATTATTAAAATATTATTATTTTATTACAGATACAAATCCCAGTGACCCAACTTGAACTAGCCCAATAGAGCCCAAATGTGTAACCCTAGATTTAGTTAGGGTTTACATATCATCATCCAACCGCCTCAACTTGCTGCCGTTGGATCTAGTTTTGATCCAACGGCCCAGATGGTCCCAACAAGGAAACCCTAGGGTATCATAACCCTAGGGACACGTCCCAGCCGCCGCTGCCTCCAGTGCCACGCCACCTCGCCGTTGAAGCCTCCAGAAGCTCTGTTGCCACGATTACAGCCACACACGTCGCCTCTACGGTGAGTCACCAGCATAGCTTTGGTGACTCACCAAGGCTTTCATCCTCTGGACTGGTCCGACGAGAGCCTCACCGAGGCAATAAAGCCTCGTTTCCCCTGCAAACAAGAGGAAGAGGAGAAAAAAATAGAAAAGACAAAAAGAGAGGAGACCAACAGCCACGGAGCAACCAAACAGAGAGCAGAATACGAGAACAAATCAACACTCAATAACCAGAAAGAAGAGGAAAAAAAGCATCTTACCATCGTAGAAGCCTCCAAACCGTCTGGAACCACCGAAATCATTGTAAAACCGAAGGTAAAACCTTCGATTTATTTTAGATCTAGAACGATCTAAAGCATTTTAGGACAAGCGAAGGCCATATTCGGCCTTAGGAGGTCGAGATCTACACTCTAGGGTAATTTGGGAATTCCAGCCACCGTTGGTGGTGGTCGGCAGTGGTGATTGGCGTCGTTGATGGTGGTCGGTCGGTGACTTTTAGAGAGAAACGAGAGAAATGATATCTCTCTTCTCTAGAGAGAGGAGAGAAATGAGAGAGTTGGCCCGAAGGGCCAGCCGTTTGGGGTATTTATACCCTTTCCCAAATAACGCCGTTTTGGGAGGGGTATATCTGTAATTTCGTGCATGGCCAAACCCTTTCCGCAGCCATCCTAGTTTGTAATCCTTACATTTTAGTCACTAAAGCAAATTTTAGATCCTTTTAATTCGGTATTCGAATTTTATATATATTCATTTTAGTCCTTTACATAAAATAATATATTTTAGGTAAATAACATATTTAGTCCTTTAATTTTAATAATTAATATTTTAAACCCTGAACAACATATTTCAATTTATTTTAATTTGATATATGAATTTTATATAATTTTAGTTTAGTCACTAAATTAATAAATAAGGAGAATAAACATGTTTAGTCACTCAAATTTTAAATAATTAATTATGAATTAGGTATTTAATTCTATTAGGTTATAATTTAGTCACTAATTTCAATTTTTATTTATTTACAAGTTTTATTTATTTTAAATATATAGTTTTAATTTTATTCATTGTTTAGTTATATGTTAATTTTATATGTTTACTTTTAATTATTATTACTATTATTATTTAGCCATAAATATATATATTTATATAATAAATAATATTTATTTTATTTATTAAAATCTTATTTAATTACTTTTAACTTATTTTAATCATGTTTTAATATTTATTTATTTTTCAATATTAAGAAAGTGCAGTCTTAAAACAACTGGATGTTCATTTTCTGATATTTTTAAATAAATAAATATCATATTTTATAAATTATATATTAATTGTTTTAATTAATTAATTATTTTTTAATATCAAAGAAAATAGCTGTCTTAAGGCACCTAGAAGTCATTTTCTGATATTTTTAAATAAATAAATATTTTATTTATAACTATATATAAATTAATATATTTTTTTCATAATTATAATTTTGAAATAATAGGATTATAAATTAAATATATTTTGAATTTTTAAATTTCTAATAATAGAGACAATTTATAATTAAAAAGTACCAATTTTGGGCGTTGTAGGGGTGCTAATCCTTCCCTAAACGTATCCGACCACGAATCCCTTTTTATTATTAAAAAGAACGAATTTTTGGTTAAAAACGCAGATCAGTTTATCTTTTAATCGATGTTTTCTTAAAAACTCTTTTAAATGATGATTTTTAGGTATTCGACCTACCTGATCCAAAAGGCCGATGGCGACTCCCAAATTATTTTAAAAACCATTTATTCAAATCACTTTTCCCGCCAAGTAAAAAATTCGTGCCCGGACGAAAACCGGTTACGACAGCTTGGCGACTCAGCTGAGGACTCTGGTCAAGCTTTTAAAATCAATTATAAATTGTCTCTATTAATTAGAAATTAAAAATTCATACATTTAATTTATAATTCTTTCTTTTCAAAATGTTTATATATACTTATTATTTTC